ACTTTATTATGTTAATAAAGTAGCAAGTGCTACTGTTCCATCTATAAGGGATATTGTTAGCAATTAAGTTTGTTATACCAATCAGGATCTCACAAATAAGAAGTTATGACATCTAAATTCAGCTACCAAATCTGGATTTATTTTTTTTTTTTTTTACTTGCTGGTATATAACTCATATTTGGCAAAGGTAATAATTTCTAGCAGCTTTCCAGGACCTGTGAGGAGGTTATAGAAGTTCCATCTGGGCTTTTCACAAAGGAGCCTGGCAGGAAGAGCAAAGGCAACAAGCATAAACTGAAAACCTCCAAGGGTGGAAATTGCCTCTCTGAAACAGCCTGCTCCACCGCTTGTCTGTAGAAACTTTTTCACTTTGTGGATAGACAAGCAGTGGACCAGCTTATCTGGAAATGTCATGTAGTCACCTTTCTTCGAGGTTTTCAACACTGACTGGGTAAAGTGCAGAGCAAACTGTCTCAACCATGTAGATGTTTTGAACAGAGAATTGCACTAGACACCTCCTGATCTCGCCACACTTGAATTGTACTATGATGCTGTGAAAGGTAGTAGAGAAACAATTTCTGTCAAAGTAATTTAAGTGGCTAGTTATATAATAAAAATAGTGATAAAGCCCTAATAAGTTCCTAGTGGTTTCAAAGGAAATGAGGATCTTGTGATAAGACTAAAAATTTCTTGTGGGGTATAAAATTTTCTATAATGTAGCAGCATGAACAAGGCAGTTTAGGATAGACTGTAAGCTTAAAAGCAAATTACAGATCTTATCTTTTCAAATCAGCGGCAGGGAAATGCACTTCTGTGAACAGGAATAATGCATAAGGTTTCTGTGCATTAGGAGTGTGTTAGACAGGTTTAAAGAATTGAAGCTGTGCTTTAGCCTTCCTCGTTTATCTTGGCAATGCATTTTCTCCAAAAGGAATGTAACTGAAATTCAACTCAGGTTAACAGTCTCAAAAATTTGGGCTGAAGAAATTGACATATTGACTTAGGGTTTTAGGCTGAGGAAACATAGTGGGTTAAACAAAAGCTTTATGAAGTTTTGTTTCTTTTTTAAAGGCAAGTTCCTTTATTTTCAAGAATAATTGCAGGCAATAAGTGCATTGCTACCTGTAGAGAAGTAAAAATACTTAAATGTCTTTTCAGTGTGTGTGTAGTTTTGTGTATATTATACAATTACAATATGATTGTACTGATTGACTGAATAAACAACTGAGAATCAATAGTGTATGATTCCCTTTGCATTTTTAGTATAAACACTAATTGTTGCTAAATCAATGCAAAATGTTAGGAGTAAAATTCTTACCAGAAGACTACTTACATTGTCTAAAATACTCAATTATTTTGGTGGAATATTGTGTAATTGTAGTGTCTAATTAAAAATAGCTGCTAGCCATTTTATTGTTTCTGTGTCTAGATTGTATTTAAATTCTTCATTCTTTTGAACAAGATAGGTAAGACAAAAGCTTTTCATAAAATTATCAACAATAGAAAATTCAACTAGTGTTTGTTTTACCTTTCCCTGGTGTTATTAGTAGAAGCTATGAAATCCTTTCAAAATTCTATTTTCCCCAAAATTATTGTGATTGTTTCTCCAGGTTTTATAGAGTTAATTTTCACAGAAAAAGCACTATTTTCTGCAAATACCAAATTTCTATGCATGTTATGGCCATACACTACTCAACACTAAAGTGCTGATTTCTTGCTGAAGTTATTTGTATCTGCAAGCATGGATTGAATTCAGTATAATTTGAAAATCTCTCTTCTTAGAGGTTATGTGCCAAATTTCAGCCCTGTACAAATTAAAAAAAAAAAAAGTTTTCCCTTTTTCTCTTTGAATACTACTTGATGTAAAACAATTACTGAACAAACTGCTTGGAAGTAAAATGTAAGGTAAGAAACAAAGGAGGATTACTTTAGCCTACCTTAGGCACTTCTGTATCAGAAATAAATCAGGGTTACCTTGAGGTTTTGGTGAATGAGCATCCTACAACTGCAAATGGTAGCAAGACAGGAAAGCTTTATGCATGTGTGAATGCTTATCCTTTGTCCCCACCTTGATCAGGTAGGTGTTAGGGTCAGGGTTATTCCCACCTGTATGTATGGATGAGCTTCTGCTACTTTCAAGGAATGCTTTACTGCCTTACTGTTATGATCAAAGGGGTGCTTCATTGCTCAGCTGGTTTGGTCCAGGTTTATCAGGAGCTCCCGAGTTCCTGAGGTGTGGTGTGGGATAGGAAGGGAGAGGATGCACGACTACAGCTTATTATCTGCAGTGCAGTCCTCTAGCACATCACAGACTGGGTTGCACAGCTCCTCCATTTTGCTCAGGACCATGCCTTGTGTTGGAAGGTCCTTGTCAGACTGTTTCTAATCACTATTATAACCTTTAGTTGGTGCAGAATTTTTCTTTGTGGCAACTAGCTCACCTCATCAATCCTTGGATGCTGTCATAAAAATTTTTTTCATCTCAATAAAGAGTTAAGTGCTACTATAGATTGTGTTTTCAGATAAATATACCTTTCATTCATTTAAAGAATAGAAGCATGTATTCCTTCATTATAAAAAATAGAATCATAGACCACTGCCAAGTGAGACAAATATTCTTTGTAATGGAACTTATCAAAAAACCATGTCAGGATATGCTAATTTGTTAATATTGTTAAAGGTTGACTAATAAATACTAATTTTACACTATTCCTCCCCTATTTGTTACTAGAAGTAATCTAAAGAGGATTCTCTTCCTTGTATGTCTTCATTATATGTGAGCATAGGAGAAACTGGTACTGCACTTCTGGAAGCTTGGCCCCTGCTTTCTCATACTTACCAATAGTGCTCTTTTCAGAACGAAAAAATTGAGTATTTTGCAGATAAAAGATGTTAACAAAAGTTGCATGTGGTAGTATTGCATTTTGAAGTTAGTTATTTCCTCAGTTATTAAAGATTCCAAATATATTTTAAATTTTTTTTGTTATTGTTAGATGCTTAATTTTTCTTATGGTGATATTCTAGTTCAAAAATATTCAAACAGTTACTCAGCTCTGAAGAGAATCTTGAGATGTCAAGTTATGTACATAAATTTTATATCAGTCCTCCCAGGTTGGGATATCTATTCTATTCTATTCTATCATATGAGACATATTATTTCTTGATCAGTTATTTTTATAATTTCATCTGCAACTTGTCTCCATTAGAGATAGTTACAACCTATATACATTTGCATATGTTTTTGTTTCCATCTAATGACCAAGGGTTTGATTTTCCATGGTATTTATTAAAATAAATTATTTGTTATTCATTAAGGTTCTGTTAATATAATAAGACCAAAATTCACATCTACCAATAGCCTTCCAAAAAAATCTAATTTATCTGTCTTCTGATAATTTCTAGTCAGTTGCCTTCAGACTCTTCAGTTAAGGTGTGCTACTTGCCTTACAAACTAATATTGGGTTGTTATGTTTTTTAAACATCTACGTGTTGACCTATAACTTTTAATTCAAATTAGTTTTAGTTTCTTACTTTACCATTTTCTTTCTACATCAGCTGGAATATCATCAATAATATGCAATCTATAAAAAGTCATCCACTGTGGAATTAAGTCTTGCTGCTTTGATTAATATCTACAAGTTCTTAATACCAATGGAAATGAAGTGCGTGTAATTTTTTTTGGCCAGTAAACCCTTACCAAATATAATGAAGAGTGCCAACAGAGTTTCACATTGTAACTGACTACAGCAGATCTAATTATAGAAATGCTCATAACAAGAACAGACCATAGAAGAACTTTGTGTAAGGTGAGAAAATAAAACTTAAAGAGAACACCAAAATGCTACATTGCATGGAAGTTTGAGTGTTGCACAGTATACACAATATCAAATGAGTAAAAAGTACATAAGTGTATGAATTTATTTTATTTGGAATCATATCTCTGTATCTTAAAACAGGCATTCTGAAAATGGTGTCATTTGCAGTTATGTGACTTGGATATATTATTTGGGTAACCGTACTCCATGGTAGCTATACCATTTCTGTCATGACATACCTATATTTTGTTATGGTTTATAAAGTATTCTTAGTTTACAGCTTTCCAGGTCTCGTACTGTAACCTTTCTCACTCTGATATTTCCTCTTGTGTTTGTATGTGTGTATGCACGCACATATACACATTCATACATGCACAGGAGTATTTCAAGAGATATTAACAGAGATTAAGAAGTAGATTCTGTAGATTTTTGGTCACTCTGATTTACATTAAATTTTGATTAAAAGAATAGCATAGGCCATTTACTAATCTCCTATGAATTATCCCTGTAATAACTGAACCTAAATGGTAATTGACAAAATGCATTCAATTAATGTTTTTATTTAAGTAGTCCAACTGATTAATAACTATCTGTAAGTTCTGCAGTGATTCCCACAAATGAATAAGGACAGTTGTACTTTGTTAGAACGTCCTCAACAACCTTGCAGGTGTAGCACTTTCAATTTTAAACTGATCTTCATTTTGTACCATTTTTATCCCAAAATATGAAGAACTGCTTCCTAGTCCTTTCCCTGCACTTGTACTAGCATATTCACATCTGCTTCACAAATATATTTGCTTCTAAAGAACACAGTGAGGGAGTGACAAGACGACGTATGTTGAAATGCACAATTAATACAGTTTTAAAGTATGTGATAATGGATGTTCATGTCTTCTGCAAGATGCAATATTTTTCTTAACTTGTATCCCTATAGTAGTGCTTTTAATTTTTAAATTTTTTAATTTTTTAATTTTAATTTTATAAATGCAATATTAGTTTAGCAAAGAAGAAGTAGAATAAATCTGTTTCCTTACTTATAGGGAGAAGAGTTTTAAATTTCAGGCAACGTAGTGCAAGAACAAACAACCTCTATACAAAGTTTGTGTTTTGCATAATCTGATTGTCGACTTCAGCCTGTTTCTTCTGACTTATGGCCTTTTTCTCTTTTTGTATTTCTGTCAACAGAAAGCTGACCTTGCCGTTGCACCATTGGCAATTACCTATGTTCGTGAGAAGGTCATCGACTTTTCCAAGCCCTTTATGACTCTTGGAATAAGTATTTTGTACCGCAAGCCCAATGGTACAAACCCGGGCGTCTTCTCCTTCCTGAATCCTCTCTCCCCTGATATCTGGATGTATATTCTGCTGGCTTACTTGGGTGTCAGTTGTGTGCTCTTTGTCATAGCCAGGTAACATGTCAACTTTTGTGATTTTTTTGGCAATTGTTACCATTTTTTTCTTACTAATAATTGTCAAAAGTCACAAAACTTTTCTTACTTTCATATGCTTATATTTAAACTTCATGATTTACAGAAGAATAATGATGAGGGTTCTCACCATTAATATTCTCCACTGCCATACTAAGTCTCCAGTTTGTTACTGGACTTTTTCCCTAAGTCTTCAGTATGCTAGCTAGATTTCTTCTTTTATTTACAAATATCGAGACACTAGAAAGTTTTTAAAATAGCTTTTCCCAATAAGTCTGCATTTATAAACCCAGGGTTTGCATGTTTTATTTTGTTACTCTGATTTGTTTTTATGCTGTGGTGCTCAATCTCAATTTGAGTACTTAGCTGCCTATGCTAATTCTAGATGTCCAAACTGGGCCTCTACCAGTTGTAAAAGTTTGTGTATCTTTGAAGTAGGATAACAATATTTATTTTTAATTTTCTGCTAGTTGAAATCCCTGAGATACAGAATTTAAAGTCTCTGAGTGGAATATTTCTGGAAGCTTAGTTGATAGGAACATGATACATCAATTGTTAAATTATAAACTGATTTTATATATAGGGCTCACTTTTTTATCTGTTTTTTTCAACCCAAATGAGCAGAAAAACATCTTTTGTCAAAAAATCCTAATATATTTACCATTTTCTTCTTAACTTGTTAGGTTCAGATGCTGGCATCAATACAGACTTACATGTAGCTTTGGCGTTTGTCATGACAACAAAAGAAAAAGCTCAGAGCAGTGTATGAAATCTCTTTTCCCCTTCTAGTCACTTGCAATTTTTTTTTAACTCAAATGTATATGAACTATATTGGCTTTTATCTCTTTAATAAGATGGGGTCTTTTTGTTTGTGTTGATAATGAAATCTCACTTCAGTCCTGAGATTTCTGTGATTTCATGCTGTGGTTCACAGTAGAATCTTTATATATTTCTTTTTCTATTGTGCTGTATTTAGTATCAGGATTCTCCATCTCTCTTTGATACTCTCTGTTTCATTTTGGAGAAGTTGTATCATTCCTATATTAGGATGAAGCGATATTTTTAGAAAGCAGTTTAGAGGTAATTTAGCACCTGTAGATGAAGTACTTGCAGTATTGAAGTAATATAGATAAAACTGAAACATATTTTGTAATAAAAGACTTTACTTTGTACATTTTTGAAAAGTCTGCTTTAAAGAGTCAGAGTTATGATAAAAGTTTCTTGAAAGACCCCTATTTTAGTGGACTATATAACCAGAGTGTACAATCTTTGCTGAGGTGTACCAGAGAGTGCAATAGTTTCTGAAGTGCCATACAGATACCTCTGAAAGCACAGCCGAGCATAAATCACAACTGTTATCTTGTGAAATGCCTCATGTAAAATATTTATGCATATGTCCGAAAGTTTTAACCCTACTGTTATCACTGAAGGACATATTCAGCATGATGCATAGTGCTTTTGACAGGTAGCTCCCACTAATGTTAGTAGGATTTGTATGGCTGAGCTCCTACTTATGCTTTGAGAATGAGCTTTGACATGTTTTTTAGGAAAGATGGATTTTCTTGAAGACTTTCTTTTTTTTTGATTAAGCTATTTGGCCACTTGAGCTCACTAGCAGAATAAGAAGGAATATTTATTTTTATATAGAAACCCCATATAATATAGACCAATAATGCTGACTTTTTTTTCACTTGTCTGTTTTTGTGACAAGCACCATACATTCCTTATGCAATTGGAAGCATTATCTTAATTGTAAAGCAATACGGAATAGGTTTTTATACTGAGCACAGAAGTTTTTTTTTGTTTCTGTAGAATTGTATACCTCATCTTTTTTGCACATAAATTTATACTAGCCTTCATATGTAGAGATTTTCCATATTTCTTAACTGATACAATCAAATATTGATAACACATTTAGAAATAAAAGATGTAGGGTTATGTAAGACAATCTACAGATTTTATTCATAATGCAGAATGACTTAATAGTACGTCATAGCCTTTTCTATCATTATTGCTCGTAAAAGGAAACAGGTCTAAATTAAAAGTTGCATTTCCTGCTGAATACTAAGCAGAAACAAAGAAGAACATTATTCAAAAGTTAAAGCCTGTTTGCAAATACAATTAAAAAATTTTATCTGTCATGTAAAGAGAGATACTTTAAAGTGTCTTAGTGAAGATGACTTTGCAGCATGACTTTTTTCATACATACCATTATGTATGTATGAAAATACATACATAGTGGTATGTATTTTCAGTACAGATTATAGGTTAGGTATTGCACAGCTGATGATGTATTTTCCAGTCCTGGTGTTGTGAAACTCCTGGACTGCATGCCACTAGTTTAATAGGGTCTACCCAGAGTTTCTTATAAAGAAGATTTCTATTCCATAACAATCCTTTCATAATGGATGTTTAAATTAACAGTGTTTCATAATAATTACTTTGTGTTTCATAATAAGGTGTGCCTTTGTTTGGAGCAGTGCTTAGTATGTCTTTTATGATATAATGTTTTGCAATTACAGCTCATCAGAACGTTCAGTATAGAATATTTATTTTAAAATTGAAACCTCCCATTTTTATGTCAAAGGTTTTGTGGTGTTATTGTTTCACCATGTCTTTGAAACAATGTTGACATGTAAGAGCTCGGTACATTGAAAATGGAAAGTACCATTCTATTGTGTCTCTTGGATCTCACTCATTAATTAGTGGTATTGTGATATTTAAGGAAAGATTAAGAAATTAGTAAAAACTTCAAGAATCTTTAAGAATGAATTGTTTAAAATACTCCCATAGACAGAGAAATATAACATAAATCTGTATCAGTCCTTTTCTTAATTTGTAAGAGCACTGGATTTTCCTTCCAATTTGAGAATGATATATAAAGAACTGTAATCTTCACAAACACAAGAAGACAAGAAACTAGGAAAGATTTATATGTTAGCTGGAGGGCTTTTCTATTTTATTTTCCTCTTGTAGTTTCTCCCAAAAGACAGTTCTACTTTTGAACAGACAGATTCTCCATTGCACCTCTTAATCTTGTTTGTTGCTGTTGTTGAATCTCAGTAGTTAGGATGGTCAGTCTCTGGAAGTTCCTTTCTTTGTTGTACAGACTGATGACTGATATATAAACCCAGTCTGCTTGACACTAAGCTTATTCATTTTCTGTGAACTGAGAATTTCATATAGTATTTTTTCTTGTTGTGGCAACAGTAATAGATCTTTCTGGTGCTAGATAGCATTGTCTTTTTGTGTCTGCTAGCAGTGTCTTGCGTCATCTGAAATCCTGCTGCATTCAAATACCATACCTTTATGCCTCTGCCTTTACTAGTTTTTTTATTGAGAATATCAGTTAAATTCACAGTTTAGATATGATTAGAAGGAAAACTAAAACCTCAGTAAAGCACACCAACTGTTTTTTGGACTTCTGTCAATTACACATTTTCTGATCTGTATAATCAAAAATTTCAATTAGTGGAATTTATTTTTATTTCTGTTTGTTGCTGCAAACCATTGTGCCATTTCTAAGCAACATGCTGTTTTCTTACAGTGTTGTGTATCAACTTCATAGACACATGTTGTCCCTTTTCCATCAGTCTGTGTGCAAGAAAAAGACGCTTCCTGTTTTTGTCCTGCAAAATCTAACATATTGGTTACTGGAGGATCCTTTCTTTTCTATGTAGGCATTATGAAGAAAAGCAGTTTTATGCTTTGAAAAATGCTTAATGTATTTTATTTACATAGGTCTTCCTATAAACTACTTTCAAAGTTAATCTTCAGCTGGGTTTTCTTATGATTATATTGTATTTTTGAGTCTCATGCATAATTTTAAACTTCCATGTTTCTTGTATCTTTTCTGAAAATATAGATTGGAGACTAAATTCCTTAAATATTATTATCAAATAATTTTATGCCTAATTTACTGGATTTCAAGTTATTCCCTGAACACTGATGTATTTCTCTGTGTACTAAGGTCTTTTTTTTGCTCTGGACATATCAGTCTGTCATAAAGAAGTTTACTCTTAAGTGACTTATCTTCAAAACTGGAAGAGATACAGCTGCCTTAGTAAGGTACTTCATTTTTACAGATCAGATGTGAAGCAGATAACCTATACTGGATAAAATTGTCCACTATCGATCTCTTGTGCTTTTCACACTGAGCTGTCCAAAGTATCAGTGACTATTGTGGAAATATACATTAAACTGCCATAAATGTTAATTTTGAATCATGGGTTGTCAATTTAAAAGGCTTTTTTGCCTTTACTTGTAATACATTTTTTATGCTAGGACTTCCTGCCTTATCCTCCCTTTGGAATTATGCTATTCTACATCTTCTAAGTCAAGCCCTTGTGCTGCTTCCAGCTGCCAAAGCATTTGTTATCACCTATTTTTCCATTTCCTTGGAAGCACTGATTAGAGCACAATGAACATAATGAACATTGCCTCATCAACAAACTATATTTTTCTCTTACCCACTGGAAATAAGAAACTTCCTAAGAAGTCCCCACACATTTATCTTACTCTTTTCTCTGTGAAAAACCTTGGGAATAGCCTGCTGCTTCAGACTGTAATAGATGCCTGGGCATTAAGTCTCTCTGGAGTGTGTGCATATCCTTTTACATCTCATCTGTCTTCATTTTTATTTTATATTTTTGTTCAGCTGATTTCTGTCCTTAATGTTGCTTGATTGATTTTGAAACTACTGAGTAAATTATGGATTCCTATGTGAAAAAACTGAGGTTTTTTCTGCATCTCTCATGATGTAGGTATTTTAGGAAAGCAGTAGGTTTGGTGACTTCTGCCTCAAGGAAAGCACCTTGTAATATGCATTTGTCCAGCTGCTTCACCAATATGTAAATTCTTGTTCCTTTGTAGATTACCCTAATCAGATTTTATTTTATTTGTTAATGAAGAGTATAGAAGTATCTTAATGACGCTGTCTAGAGTTGAAAATGGCCTAGAAACTACATCCTGTTATTTTTTTT